ATACACTACTACACTACACACTACTACACTATACACTACTACACTACACTATACACTACTACACTACACTATACACTACACACTACACTACTACACTACACTATACACTACACTGTACACTACTGCGCTACACACTACTACACTACATACTACACTACTACACTACACTATACACTACTACACTATACACTACTAGACTATACACTACTACACTACACTATACACTACACTACTACACTACACTATACACTACACTACACACTACACTACTACACTACACTATACACTACTACACTATAAACTACACTATACACTACACTACACTACTACACTACACACTACACTACTCTACACACTACACTATTACTACACTACACTATACACTACTACACTACTACACTACACTATACACTACTACACTACACTATACACTACTACACTACACTATACACTACAACACTACACACTACACTACTACACTACACTATACACTACTACACTATACACTACTACACTACACTACTACACACTACACTACTACACTACACTATAAACTACTACACTACTACACTACACTACTACTACACTACTACACTATACACTACTACACTATACACTACACTACACACTACACTACTACTACACTACACTATACACTACACTACTACACTACAATATACACTACTACACTACACTATACACTACTACACTACACTATACACTACACTACTACACTACACTATACACTACTACACTACTACACACTACACTACTACACTACACTATAAACTACTACACTACACTACTACTACACTATACACTACTACACTATACACCACACTATACACTACACTACTACTACACTACTACTACACTACACACTACACTATACACTACTACATTACACTACTACTACACTACACACTACACTATACACTACTACTACACTACACTACTACACTACACACTACACTATAAACTACACTACACACTACACTACTACTCCACTACACACTACACTATAAACTACACTACACACTACACTACTACACTACACTATACACTACTACACTATGCACTACTACACTATACACTACTACACTATACACTACACTATACACTACTACACTATACACTACACTACTACACTACACTACTACTACACTACTACTACACTATACACTACACTACTACACTACACTATACACTACCACCGCTAGGCTCCTCACCGAGAGATTCTTCTCCACCATCTGCTACACTATACACTACTACACTACACTATAAACTACTACACTATACACTACACTATACACTACACTAATACACTACTTCTACACTACACTATACACTACACTACTACTACACTACACTATAAACTACACTACACTACTACACTATACACTACTACACTACACTACTACACTACACTATACACTACTACACTACACACTACACTACACTACTACTACACTACTACACACTACTACACTACACTACTACACTACACTATAAACTACACTACACTACTACACTACACTATACACTACACTACTACTACACTACACTATACACTACTACACTACTACTACACACTACACTACACTACTACACTACTACTACACTACTACACTACACTACTACACTATACACTACACTATACACTACACTACTACACTACTACTACACTACACTATACACTACACTACTACTACACTACACACTACACTACACTACTACACTACACTACTACACTACACTATACACTACACTACTACACTACACTATACACTACACTACTACTACACTACTACACTACACTACTACACTATACACTACACACTACACTACTACTACACTACACTACACACTACACTACTACTACACTACACTATACACTACCACCGCTAGGCTACTCACCGAGAGATTCTTCTCCACTATCTGCTACACTATACACTACTACACTACACTATAAACTACACTACACTACATTATACACTACACTATACACTACTACTACACTACTGCACTATACACTACACTACTACACTACTACTACACTATACACTACACTACTACTACACTATAAACTACACTACTACTACACTACACTACACACTACACTACTACTACACTACACTATACACTACTACACTATACACTACACTAATACACTACTTCTACACTATACTATACACTACACTACTACTACACTACACTATAAACTACACTACTACTACACTACACTATAAACTACACTACACTACACTACTACACTATACACTACTACACTACACTACTACACTACACACTACTACTACACTACACTATACATTACTACACTACACTACTACACTATACACTACTACACTACACTACTACACTGCACACTACTACTACACTACACTATACACTACTACACTACTACTACACTACACTATACACTACTACACTACTACTACACTACACACTACACTATACACTACACTACTACACTACACTATACACTACACTACTACACTACACTACTACTACACTACACTATACACTACACTACTACACTACACTACTACTACACTACACTATACACTACTACTACACTACTACACTACACTATAAACTACACTACACTACTACACTGCACTATACACTACTACTACACTACACTACTACTACACTACTACACTATACACTACTACACTACTACACTACACTATACACTACTACACTACACTACTACACTACACTATACACTACTACACTATACACTACTACACTATACACTACTACACTATACACTACTACACTACACTATACACTACTACACTACACTATAAACTACACTACTACACTACTACTACACTACACTACTACACTACACTATACACTACACTACTACACTATACACTACACTACTACACTACACTACACACTACACTACACTACTACACTACACTATACACTACCACCGCTAGGCTCCTCACCGAGAGATTTTTCTCCACCATCTGCTGCAGCCACTGCAGGTCGGCCGGCTTGAAGGCCAGCACGGCCATGAGGCTGCCCTCTCCCTGCCCCCACGTGGAGGTGGACGACGAGGAGGAGGTGGAGGACGACGAGGAGGTGGAGGACGAGGAGGTGGAGGACGACTCTGGGTAGAGGAGACGCAGGGTCGTCCTCTGGCCCACGTCCACCTCGTGGCCCAGCGTTGGGGCATCGTTCATCCTGGAGGTTGTGGGGGATTTGGTTGAGGGGGCGTGTTGTGACGTCACAATGGTGAGTGTGGGGGGGGGGGGTGTCACGTGGTGTGGTGTGGGGGTGTGGTGTGACGTCACAATGGTGGGGGGAAGGTGACACGTGGTGTAGGTGTGGGTGTGGTGTAACGTCACAATGGTGGGGAGGGTGTCACGTGGTGTGGGTGTGGTGCAACGTCACAATGGTGGGGGGAGGGTGACACGTGGTGGGGGTGTTGTGACATCACAATGGTGGGGGGAGGGTGACACGTGGTGTGGGTGTGGTGCAACGTCACAATGGTGAGGAGGGTGTCACGTGGTGTGGTGGAGTTGGTGTGACGTCACAATGGTGGGGAGGGTGTCACGTGGTGTGGTGTGGGGGTGGTGTAACGTCACAATGGTGGGGGGAGGGTGACACGTGGTGTAGGTGTGGTGTGACGTCACAATGGTGGGGGGAGGGTGACACGTGGTGTGGGTGTGGTGTGACGTCACAATGGTGAGGAGGGTGTCACGTGGTGGGGGTGGTGTGACGTCACAATGGTGGGGAGGGTGACACGTGGTGTAGGTGTGGGTGTGGTGTGACGTCACAATGGTGGGGAGGGTGACACGTGGTGTGGTGGAGTTGGTGTGACGTCACAATGGTGGGGAGGGTGACACGTGGTGTAGGTGTGGGTGTGGTGTGACGTCACAATGGTGGGGAGGGTGACACGTGGTGTGGTGGAGTTGGTGTGACGTCACAATGGTGGGGAGGGTGACACGTGGTGGGGGTGTTGTGACGTCACAACGAGGTGGGGAGGGTGTCACGTGGTGGGGTGGTGTGACGTCACAATGGTGGGGAGGGTGACACGTGGTGTGGTGGGGGTGGTGTGATGTCACAATAGTGGGGGGAGGGTGTCACGTGGTGTGGTGGGGGTGGTGTGACGTCACAACGGTGGGGAAGGTGTCACGTGGTGTGGCGGGGTTGGTGTGACGTCACAAGGAGGTGGGGAGGATGTCACGTGGTGTGGCGGAGTTGGTGTGACGTCACAACGAGGTGGGGAGGTTGTCACGTGGTGCGGTGTGAGCGTGACGTCACGTCGCGATGCAAAACGCAAACCGGTTGCTTTGTGCACTGGGCCCACCTGATGATGACGTCATGCCGGTCGATGGCCGCCCCGAGGCCACGCCCCTTGAGCACGTGACCGTTCCCCACCACCACGCAGCGCCTGCCGGGCACAGACAAAGGTCCCCCAGGTAGCCTCTAGCAGGGCTGTAGGGGCAAGTGCAGTCACACAGACACAGACAAAGCTCCCCAAGGTAGCCTCTAGCAGGGCTGTAGGGGCAAGTGCAGTCACACAGACACAGACAAAGGTGACCCAGGTAGCCTTAGCAGGCCTGTAGGGGCAAGTGCAGTCACACAGACACAGACAAAGCTCCCCCAGGTAGACTCTAGCAGGGCTGTAGGGGCAAGTGCAGTCACACAGACACAGACAAAGCTCCCCCAGGTAGCCTCTAGCAGGGCTGTAGGGGCAAGTGCAGTCACACAGACACAGACAAAGCTCCCCCAGGTAGCCTCTAGCAGGGCTGTAGGGGCAAGTGCAGTCACACAGACACAGACAAAACTCCCCCAGGTAGCCTCTAGCAGGGCTGTAGGGGCAAGTGCAGTCACACAGACACAGACAAAGCTCCCCCAGGTAGCCTCTAGAAGGGCTGTAGGGGCAAGTGCAGTCACACAGACACAGACAAAGCTCCCCCAGGTAGCCTCTAGAAGGGCTGTAGGGGCAAGTGCAGTTACACAGACACAGACAAAGCTCCCCCAGGTAGCCTCTAGCAGGGCCGTAGGGGCAAGTGCAGTCACAAAGACACAGACAAAGCTCCCCCAGGTAGCCTCTAGCGGGGCCGTAGGGGCAAGTGCAGTCACACAGACACAGACAAAGCTCCCCCAGGTAGCCTCTAACAGGGCCGTAGGAGCAAGTGCAGTCACACAGACACAGACAAAGCTCCCCCAGGTAGCCTCTAGCAGGGCTGTAGGTGCAAGTGCTGCTACACAAACACAGACAAAGCTCCCCCAGGTAGCCTCTAGCAGGGCTGTAGGGGCAAGTGCAGTTACACAGACACAGACAAAGCTTCCCCAGGTAGCCTCTAGCAGGGCTGTAGGGGCAAGTGCAGTCATACAGACACAGACAAAGCTCCCCCAGGTAGCCTCTAGCAGGGTTGTAGGGGCAAGTGCAGTCACACAGACACAGACAAAGCTCCCCCAGGTAGCCTCTAGCGGGGCTGTAGGGGCAAGTGCAGTCACACAGACACAGACAAAGCTCCCCCAGGTAGACTCTAGCGGGGCTGTAGGGGCAAGTGCAGTCACACAGACACAGACAAAGTTCCCCCAGGTAGCCTCTAGCAGGGCTATAGGGGCAAGTGCAGTCACACAGACACATACAAAGCTCCCCCAGGTAGCCTCTAGCAGGGCTGTAGGGGCAAGTGCAGTCACACAGACACAGACAAAGCTCCCCCAGGTAGCCTCTAGCAGGGCTGTAGGGGCAAGTGCAGTCACACAGACACAGACAAAGCTCCCCCAGGTAGCCTCTAGCAGGGCTGTAGGGGCAAGTGCAGTCACACAGACACAGACAAAGCTCCCCCAGGTAGCCTCTAGCAGGGCTGTAGGGGCAAGTGCAGTCACACAGACACAGACAAAGCTCCCCCAGGTAGCCTCTAGCAGGGCTGTAGGGGCAAGTGCAGTCACACAGACACAGACAAAGCTCCCCCAGGTAGCCTCTAGCAGGGCTCTAGGGGCAAGTGCAGTTACACAGACACAGACAAAGCTCCCCCAGGTAGCCTCTAGCAGGGCTGTAGGGGCAAGTGCAGTTACACACAGACACAGACAAAGCTCCCCCAGGTAGCCTCTAGCAGGGCTGTAGGGGCAAGTGCAGTCACACAGACACAGACAAAGCTCCCCCAGGTAGCCTCTAGCAGGGCTGTAGGGGCAAGTGCAGTCACACAGACACAGACAAAGCTCCCCCAGGTAGCCTCTAGCAGGGCTGTAGGGGCAAGTGCAGTCACACAGACACAGACAAAGCTCCCCCAGGTAGCCTCTAGCAGGGCTATAGGGGCAAGTGCAGTCACACAGACACAGACAAAGCTCCCCCAGGTAGCCTCTAGCAGGGCTGTAGGGGCAAGTGCAGTCACACAGACACAGACAAAGCTCCCCCAGGTAGCCTCTAGCAGGGCTATAGGGGCAAGTGCAGTCACACAGACACAGACAAAGCTCCCCCAGGTAGCCTCTCCTCCCTCCCTCCCTCCGTGGTATCCTCACCTGGGACTGGAAACGTTAAGGCCGTACCGTTTGGTCCGGTTCAGAATTCTCTTCAACGTTGGCCCTACGGAGGGGGGAGGGGGTGAGGGGAGGGGGGTTGAGGGGAGGGGTTGAGGGGAGGGGGTTGAGGGGGGGGTTGAGGGGGGGTTGAGGGGAGGGGTTTGTGGGTGAGTCAGTGACAGATGAAGGGTGGGGAGCAGTAGTATCTGTGTGTGTCTGTGTGTGTGTGTGTCTGTGTGTGTCTGTGTGTCTGTGTGTGTCTGTGTGTGTGTGTCTGTGTGTGTCTGTGTGTCTGTGTGTGTCTGTGTGTGTGTGTCTGAGCAGAGGTGTAGGGAATTCCAACAAGACCTACATCTCTGCATTATTGACCTGGTCAAGGCCTATGATACCATCAGTAGGCCTGGGCTCTGGGTCGTTCTTCGTGCTTTTGGAGTACCTGACCCTCTGCTAACGATCATTAAGGACCTTCATGATGGTGAGCGGGCCCGGGTAAAACTACGTGGCCGGGAGTCAGAGCCATTCCATGTACACCTTGGGGTGCGACAGGGATGTCCTCTGGCTCCCACATTATTTAACATCTATTTTGACCACGTAGTTCGTGAAGCCTTCAATAGCTGTACCGGGGGAATCTCCATATGTTACAGATATAATGGGAGGCTGATCGATGCCCGGGTGTCCAGTCAAGGGATGGCTCCCTATTGCTCAACCACGTTATGTATGCTGATGATTTGGTAATAGCTGCTCAGTCAGAGGAGGAGTTGGAGACGCTGCTGCTGAGACTGGAGCGTGCCACTAAGAGGTGGGGCCTTACCATCAGCCCCACCAAAACTAAGCACCTGCCTGGGTATTTTGTACCATCGGACACTCCACCCCCACAACTCCCAATCGGTGATGGGGCAGTTGTGGAGAGAGTGGAGAGTTTCCCATACCTGGGCAGTGTGCTTATGACTGGCTCCAGTTTAACAGCAGAGGTCTCACTCCGAA